GTGGGGGCAGGTGGGAGGGGATGGGCAGTAGGCCTGGGTGCAACCTGAGAGGTTGTGGTGGAGAACCAGCTGCTGAGGGCCCTGGTCAGGGTAGTGACTTGGTTTCTAGGGTTGGAGAGAGGAGGAACTAGCTGGAGGAGGACAGGATTCAGTACAGAGCTGGTGTCTTGCTGTAAGGTGCGTGAGGTGGGAGGGTGTAAGGAGGGGGTGTGTGTGGGGTGGGCTGGTGAGGCGTGGGCGAGGTCTCAGTGCTGAGGCCTTGGCTGAGCTGCAGCTTGTGTTTTTATTTCCTTTTGGCAGATTTATCACACGTCCTGATGTCAAGCGGAGCAAGATGGCTGAGTTCCTGGACTGGAGCCTGTGCAACCTGGCCAGTTCCTCCTTCCAGACCCTCCAGGGGGTCATCACCATGGACGGGATGCTGCAGGCCCTGGTAAGTGCTGCCCGCAGGGGCCGTGGAGGTAGCAGGGAAATGACACCTTACGTGGGGACCACAGAATGATGTTACCTGTGGTTCCATCTTGATGTCATTGGAACCCCGTGGGATTGGTGTAACCAGGCCAGGGTCTTAGGGGGCAGTTTCCTTCTCCCACTGCTGTGGGTCCTGCCTTGGACCGGGCTGGTTTCTGCGTTGGTGCTGGTGGATGGGCCTGGAGCCCCACCCGTCGCCAGCAGAGGGCAGTGGTGCCACGCAGCCGGGGTTCCCCGGGGTAGGCTTCTCCGCACCTGGTCTCCTGCTTAGTTCCTGTGTGAAGTGCAGAGGTTGAATGAGCTCTAATAAAACGAGGTGGGTGAGTTGAAACTTGATGCTGTTCCTTTGCACTGGGTTTGGGTTGGATGTTCCTGACTGCTTCGTTTGGATACAGACCCTGACCTCTGCCTGCAGGTGTCTGGTTGGTGCCCTGGCTGCAGCCCTTTGCCAACCCTTTCCCTCCCTTTCGCTCTGGCTGTCTCTTGTGTTACCTTTTCTTGTGCTAACGAGGAGGAAAGATCAAGTCTCAGAAGAGGGCGAAGCCTCTTTTGGGTCAGCCTTCTGGAGGGGGAGCCAGCAGCCTGCTGTGGCCGTTGGCGCGATGGATTCAGCACCTTCCTCTCTCTTTCATTACAGCAGGTGAGGCTTTGAGAGCACTTCTCATCCTCGTCTCACGCTGTGGAGCCTGTGGTCCCTCTGAGGAGCAGGGCACTTTGTTCTTCTTGTTTAAAATATGTTTTTTATAGAGACAGGGTCTGGCTATGTAGGCCAGGGTAGTCTTGAACTCCTGGCCTCAAGTGATCCTCCTGCCTTGAGATCCTCCTGCCTTTGTGATTCTCCCAAAGTGCTGGGATTACAGGCCTGAGCCTTCATGCCTAGAAGGACACTTTGGAGTGCATTTTAGGGCAGATGACGAGTGCCACCTCGTGGTGGCGTCCTCCTGTCCGCGGCGTCATCCTGGCCGTGGCAGGTTCTGCCGGGGAGCGGGAGGCTGTCAGCTGGGTGAAGGGTGGGGGCCATGGGAGTGATAACCTGGGGTGGGGGCGTACGTTTCTTTAGGGGGAATTGGGAAGTGTCCTCAATGTCTTCTGCTTCCCGGTCATGCTGCCATGGTCTTCAGGAGGGCAGCCCTTCAGATGAAGAGAAGGTTTCAGACGTGTGAGAGAAAACTGCAGACATGTTTCCCGGAGCCTGTGCTCTGCCCAGGTGATGTCTGTTTTCTTCAGGCCTCCCGTCAACCTCCACATGAATGTGACAGATTCAGCAGTTTTCAGAAGTTAAGATATAATTCACATACCACAAGTAGTTTATCCTTCTAAGGGAAATAATTCTGTACTTCTTAGCATATTCATAAAGCTGTGCACTTCAGGACACTGTCATCACCCTGGAAGAAACCGTGATCGTACCAAGCAGTCCCTCCCTCACCCTCCCCAGCCCCCGCAGCCGTGGATCCATGTTCTGTCCCTGTGGACTTGCTGGTTGTGGACATCTTACCTCGCCAGAGTCGTACACTGCACGGCCTTCTGCGTCTGGCCTTCGCTGAGCCCGATGTGTCCAAGGTTCATCCGTGTTGAGGTCGTTCCCTTTATTCCTTAATCGTGTGCCAGTGTATGGGTATTTTCTGCTGTTACAAATTATACCGTTAACAACTTTCATGTGCAAGTTTTTGTTTAAACTTAATGCTTTCAGGCTGGGTGTGGTGGCTCACGCCTGTAATCCCAGCACTTTGGGAGGCTGAGGCAGGCAGATTACTTGAGGTCAGGAGTTCGAGACCAGCCTGGCCAACATGGTGAAATCCCATCTCTACTAAAAATACAAAAAATAGCCGGGCATGGTGGTGCGGGCCTGTAATCCCAGCTACTCTGGAGGCTGATGCAGGAGAATTGCTTGAACCTGGGAGGCAGAGATTGAGTGAGCCAAGATCATGCCACCAGCCTGGGTGACAGAGCAAGACTCTGCCAGGAGAAAAAAAACAAACACAACTTAATGCTTTCAGTACCTTGGGTACATAGCACTAGGTTTTTTTTTTTTTTTTTTTTTTTTTTTTTTTTTTTGTTGAGACGGAGTCTCGCTCTGCCGCCCAGGCTGGAGTGCAATGGCCGGATCTCAGCTCACTGCAAGCTCCGCCTCCCGGGTTCACGCCATTCTCCTGCCTCAGCCTCCTAAGTAGCTGGGACTACAGGCGCCCGCCACCACGCCCGGCTAGTTTTTTGTATTTTTTAGTAGAGACGGGGTTTCACCGTGTTAGCCAGGATGGTCTCGATCTCCTGACCTCGTGATCCACCCGTCTCGGCCTCCCAAAGTGCTGGGATTACAGGCTTGAGCCACCGCGCCCGGCAGCACTAGGTTTTAATAAAATTTTAAGCAAAATTTGGAATGTTTCCATCTTTCTGAAGTCTTTAAGATTTTTCTGGTGGCGTACCTGCCGTGCTGATGAAATAGAGGACCTGCTCGTGCCAGGCATTTTTGGGCGTTGCAGGTACAGATGTGCCATCTGCGTCCCCAGGTGCCCCTCATTCTGGCCACGCTGGGGCAGCGTCCTCAATGCCTAAAGAGGATTCATTGCTGTCTAAAGAGGGTTCATTGCTGTCGTGGAGGTCAGGGCAGGCTGAGGCTGGCCTTGGAGGGTACGGGGGTGGAGGGGTAGGGCAGGGAGGATGCAGGTCTCAGATGTGCCCACGTTGGTCCATGGATCCTCAGGGATTCTGCATTTATGTTTTAGGCAATTCTGGTAAAGGTGGTGGATACACACGGTTAATTTGAAATTTAGGTGCAGTTGGATTCTTCATTTTTTTGCCTTGAGTCCCACTGAGGAAACGTGAAGAAGGGGAAGATGGCAGTGGCCAGTGGGGGGTTCGTGGGATTCCGGTAGCTTCATGTTGTGATGCTGGGTGCATGGACAGCCTCCCACATGACCAAGGACGTGCTCTCAGGGCCCTAAGACCCCAGAAGAACAGGCCGCCAGCACCAAGAAGTATGACATGCGTGTGGAAGACCGTGAGCCTTACCTGGCTGGTAGCACGGGGTGTGGTACCTGCCGCAGCTCTCTGACCCGTCGCAGCGGGAGGGGGTCCCTGCTGTGTGACTGGGACCACTGGACCCCAACCATCGCAGCGGGAGGGGGTCCCTGCCGTGTGACTAAGACCAGTGGACCCCAACCATCGCAGCGGGAGGGTGTCCCTGCCGTGTGACTAAGACCACTGGACCCCAACCACGCAGCGGGAGGGGGTCCCTGCTGTGTGACTAAGACCACTGGACCTGACCCATCGCAGCGAGAGGTGGTCCATGCTGTGACTAAGACCACTGGACCCCAACCATCGCAGTGGGAGGGGGTTCATGCTGTGACTGGGACCACCTGGCCTGAGGTTGGACTGGTGAACTGACAATGTTGGCACCTACATGTGTGTCAGGATCCATGTGGATACGTCCCCCGCACCTGTTTCTTGGACTGTCGTGTAAGCAGCTCTTCAGCTTCACAGGCTTCCTGATCATGTTCTGGGTGGGAAGAAGTACCCAGCCTGCCAGCCCATGGGGCCAAAGCTGTGTCTTTACAATAATCTGCACCTGGAACCGTGGCGATCCCACCAAAGAACCTGTGGCTCACAAGATCTGAGGAGGCTTCCTGGGCTTCTCTGCCCTCTAACTAGGATTTCCTCATCCCTAGAAATTTAACCTTAATGAAATCCCTAATAAAACTCTGTGCTGTGGGGAAAACGTCTCAGGTCAGGAGAGCACACGGGAGGTCTAACAGGATGTGACCAGTGCTGTTGTCTCCAGTGGCTCTGCAGGGAAGGCTGTTAGCCCTGCCCCGAGTGTGGGTGCTGCTTTGGGAGGGTAGGCACATTTGATCTCTGTCCGGTCAGTGTCTGAGACCACCTTTGTCTGCACTCTTGGTGAAACCTCCCGCACTCTTGACGGGCTTCTGAATCTGCACTCTTGACGGGCTTCTGGGGGTCTCCTGCAGCTCTCATCAGCCTGGCCTGGGAGCCTCCCCTTCTCTCCCCTCCCCACCCCATGTTGTTGGGTCAGCAGGATACCCCAGCCTTGGGGCTGGAGCCAGCTGTGGCTGCCCAGGGACTTGTAGGCAGTTGAGGCACACCGGCTCCTGGCCAGGCTGGCTGTGGGAGAGGCAGCCTCCTGGTGAGGGGCTGTGGGCCACTGCGTTCAGGCTGCCTTGGAGGGCTCCATGGTGCATCCTGGCGGTGTTCCCTGTGCACAGGGCTCCGAGTCCTTCCCGGCTTGGGAAGGTCATGTGGCCACGTGTGTCTAGTTCTGCAGCTTCTTTGTCTGCGGGTTCGGTTCTTTACTTTTTTTTTCTTTTTTTTTTGATGATCTTGCTGGTTTTCTCTAGATTGTTCTCAAGTTTTCTGTTCTTCCATCCCAAGGTGGGAGGTGCGCGGTGCACAGCCTGGATGTGGAATACCCAGAGGGCGGGTGGGCGGGCCAGCTCGCTGCCCCTTTCCCCTGCCAGCTGCTGGGACAGGTGGGAATTCCTGTAGCAAAATCAAGCCAGCCACGAGTGGGGAAGGGCTTTTTACTTTGACATCTCCAAGTTCCACGTTGAGGTGGAGAGAAGTTCGTTTTTCCCCTTCCTCCCAAGGTGTGAAAAGGTTTTCTCAAAGGCGTAGGAAGCCGAGCCTTCTGTCACCCCCCAGCATGTGCTGGCAGAGAGTGAGGCGTGCTGTCCCTGCTGTTTGGTGCAGAGCACCCAGGCAGTTTGGCACCAGCACCTCACAGGTATTCAGAGATTTGCCCTCAGCGAGAGTGAGTAATTGTCTGACGCAGCCGGCTGAAATCCCTGGGAAGGGAATGAATGAAACTGCCGTGAAGCAACGCCTGGCAGGGCTGGGCTGCTGGCAGCTCCTGGGGCCGGCGTGTCCCTTCCAGAGCGTCTGAAGCCCTGGGCGGCTGCTGGAGAATCTCGAGTCTTTCCAGAGCCATGCGTGTTGTTTCCTTCTCTC